GTCATATTTCGCGTAGTACACAAACAAAATAAACATAAGAACTTAGTGAAGAGCTGTGATACATATATGTATTATCAATATGTACAGCTTGTTTCAAATCATAGTAGCACAGCTCGTTTGTCGCTTTGGGAAAGCTGCCTCAGTATAAATTAGTATTTATTTGTTTTTGGCGTGAGTGTACATAAATAAACTCTGAAAAATTCAGAGCTACTCAGAATATATAAAGCTGCAATTTCTTAGTCTAAACAACTATGAGTTACTTACAGTTATTAGTACTCTTAGTTCTATTATCTTTCAAGCCGGCATCTGCCGGTCGACCTCAAACTGATACCGTGTATCTCGCTGTCGGCACTTCAATTGATATAACCGCAAACAGCTACGGAAACAATGTGCTGCGAACATTCTGTTACCCGGGTAAGCCTCGCTCACTATTCAGCCTATTTGAGACGGTGGAACTGGTGCTCTCAATAGCCAACGATGACTACTCCGAATATGGCGGGCGAACCCCCGAAGAAGTCCTTGAGCATTACACTGAAAAGCGTTCGTTGTTCAGCTTCACGCTCTTCTCACAGAAGCGCCAAAACATCCAGCTATCGCCATTCGAACAACAATGTATCGGCGTCTCCTCCAAGCAGCCGTACAATATAAGCCTTAAACACGCACAGCTGGATATATGGCGCCTCCTACAAATGTCTCTCGGCATTGCAGTGTTCTGGAGTGCGGGCCGCTTGGCCAAGAACAGCCTCTTTTATTATATGGCGGGCATGGTGCTCGGGATATGCGCCTCGCTGTTGGTCATCATTGCCGTTACGTCGAAGCTTTTTCCTCGCCGTCCAATGATGTACGGCGTACTAATCGGAGGGTGGACCATCGGCCTTTACATTCTCAAACAACTATCGGACAACATACGTGTCATATTAATCACCTATCGCGAATATGTGCTTTGGTATCTGGTGATTACTGGCTTAATATCGTTTCTCGTCTGCTATCGCATCGGTCCGCCCAAGAATCCGCGCTCGCAAAATATTATTATGTGGGTGCTACAGGCAGTTGGCTCTGCCATCGTCTACTTCAGCAGCTGGCACACTAGTGCGTGCGTCGTCCTCCTGGTGCTCGTCTGTTCGGCCCATTATTGTCCGAATTCGGTGCTGCAGTACGTGCGCAGTTTCTACAAGCGACGCTTTCCGCCCAAACGTCGCCTACTCACCCAGGAGGAGTACTATGAGCAGGCCGTGAGTGAGACAGCCCGCTCGCTGGCCGAGCTGCGCGAATACGTGAACAGCCCGAGTTGCCGCCAATGGAGTGTTATCAGCGCCCTACGTGACCCAATGCGCTTTGCCTCCTTTGCCAACGGTGCTCCGCATTTGTTTGATGAAGAAATCGAGGACTACTCCCGAACCATTGAGGACTCTCTGGAAGGTGCTGACGAGGAAGAGGCCTTTGACTTTTTGCAATCCAGCATGTACTATCGACCCACCGGCAGGCTTCGAAATGCGCAACGCACTTCGTCCAGTCCGGCCTCATATCCGAGACGTGCCCCGTCCCGTGGCAGGCAGCTAGGCAACAACAATGTGAACGCACGCAACGATGACGAGGACGACGACGACGATGATGAATTTATGGACTAGGAGTATACACATCATAAGATAAGGCTTTATATATATTTGTAGAACATTTTTTTTTTCTTAACCGATGCCAAAAGATAAATTTTTTTTAAGCCCTTATTAATTTTAGCTATAGGTCGTAAACGGACTGTATATATGTATTTGTTTGGCCCATGTAAATTTGGAAGACTTTAAATGTACGTCTATATGTTTGTTTTGTAAAAGCCTAATTGAACTGGCATCCTTTCGTTCAAGTCCTCAATGCAGACATAATTACTTAAGACTCGCTAGTTTTTAATTATTTATGTATGTAAGTGTAGGAGCTCTAGGTCTGATATCATTTGTACCGATAATTTTAAATTTGATCCATCTGTAAAAAATTGCAT